CAAGTCTATAGGGGGCGGGGGGAGGCAGGAGTTTTCTAACTTAGCTGCAGCTTTTCCTGGTTAAAGTGTCCGGTCTGGCCCAGCAACTCTTTCACTTTCCATTGTTGTTTTCCTCTCTTAATGAGATTTACACTATCCTTGTGAAATTTCTTTCCAGATATACATGTATCCAAACTTAAAGACTGGAAGGAAGCATTTCCTGTGCTGGTACCTCAGATTTTGTCTGTGTAACCTCATTTTCTCTAATATTCTGCTCTGAAAATTCTAGCCTCTTCAATATTAGCAGTAGTTGGGCTTGCCACATTTAGTTCTCAGGGATCCCTGTTGTCCAGTGTCTGAAAGGCGTTTACTTTGTCCAGTTTTCTGGTTGTTATGGTGAGAAGGGCAATTCCCATAACATGGAACCCTTTATGGCTTGGTTGTGGTTTTTCATTTTGATCGGCTGTTTTTCTAATTGCTTCTTTTTTTTTGAGACAGGTTCTCACTAATTGAGTATTTTTGGCATTCAGTCTGCAGTGGCACAGAGAAAATGAAAGAGATAAGGAGACAAAGGAAGAGGCCTTTAATGTGAGCACGGGAGAGCTTCACTGGGGCAGGGGATAAAGAGGCTCTCAGGGGAGAAGGAAGAAATGAGACTGCTTTTATCAGTTCTGGCTGGGGGAGGAGCTTGGGAGATGAGCAACACAACGTATTAACACTGATTTGAAGGAACATCTGCTGTGTAAAACAGAAAACAGAAAGATTTACAGGGGGCTCAGGGTGGGTGCTGGGGTGGCTGTGGTGTCTTGGGATTGGAGAGGCTTTGACACACGCGCAAAAAAGGAGTGGGAGGTTTATCTCCGGAATAAGAAGGGAAATGTAGAAGTTACTCTTGGAGAGATAAGTTGTTTCTTTGGGTCCAGTACCAAGTTGGGAGGTTGTAACTGAACCCCAAGCTAGCTATATACTTCAGGCTGGCCTTGAACTCACTATGTAACTCAGGCTGACCTCCTACCTCAGCCCTCTGAGTACTGGGATTGCAGGCATTCGTTGCTATATGTAGTCATTTTTTTTAAACTAGTCATTTGTTTGCCATTTGGTGTATCGTTTTTTATTTTGTTTTTGGTTACGGGGATCCAACTTGTGACCTCGTGCTTGCCAGGCAGGCACTTATGCCGCTGAGCTAAATCCCCGGCCCTGGTGTATCCTCTTCTTGTTGCTGTAGTTTAGTTCTAAAATATCCCTCCACAAAAGGCTCATGTGTTCAAAAGTGAGAGTTTTTGAAGATGACTGGTTCATGGGACTGCTATGTTATCAGTAGATTAATCCATTGATGAGCTTATAGCTGAATTTGCTATTAGGAGTTGGGCCTCCTGCTGGGAGGTTGTGGTTGTGGGAGGATACATTCTTGTCTCTGGCTCTTCCTTTCTCTCTCTGATTCATGGCTGACATGCATCAAGCAGCTTCCCTCCACCATGCACTGCTACTGTGCCAGTTCAGCCTTGGAGCTAGCCAATCATGGAGTTATTCCCATGAAATCATGTGCCAAACAAACTTTTCCTTTTTTAAATTGCAAGTATCAGGCATTTTGTCTCAGTGACAGTAAACCAAATAATACAGATCAGTAGGTTGTTGCAGTAACTGCAGCTGATCACGTGATTCAAAAGCCTTTGGAATTGGTTTGTGGGAAGATTTTGGAAAAGTTTTGGAGAATCAGACCAGAGACAGCCTAGAAAGTTGTAAGCACAGCTTGATCAGCAATTCTGGTCAAAGTTCAGAAGATGAGAGTGCTAATAGGAATGTGGACCATGAAGACCAGGCCCAGGCAGTCTCAGATGAGAGTGAGAATATTTTGTGAGTTGGACTAGAGGCCATGCATGTTATAATCTGTCAAAAAAAAAAGACTCACCTACATTTTACGTTGATCTGTGGAGGACATTTTAAAGTGCCCCAACATTTAGGCTGTGGCATGAATACTACTGGCTGCTTTTAGCCAGGTTTATAATGAGAATCAGGAGCAAAAAGCAGAGCAGAAGGATGTGAAAATTGTTTCAACTGGCCAGAAAAGAAGCACCTGAAAATTGGAGTCAAGGAGAGTTAGTGAAAAGATTAGTACCATTTTTTTTAAAAATGCAAATTTTGTACTGAGATAATAGGAAAAATGCCAGGAATTACTCAGATCTCACCCATTACAGACTTAAGTATACAAGTGAGTTAATTACTTTGAAAGATTGCTTTGATAAGAGAGTCCCAGGGTACCCTACTCACTTAAGACCATTTAGGGAAGTGTTTTCCCAAGTTCAGCCATCCAGGAACTCAGAGGCTGCTGTAGCCATGCAGGGAAGGAAGGCCAGCTACTGCCTGAGCCGTGGTAACACGGATGTCAGCTACATCGTGCCAGTTCTGGAAGCATGCAGATTGCAAGAGCTGTGAGGTCATGGAAGCTTCCACCCCCATTTCAAAAGGAAGGCCTTAGAGGCCAGACAACCTCTTAAAACAGGGATGCGTGAAGTTTTGAAAATGAGAATATGCAGTAGAGAGCCTAGGAAGTTGGAGATACCAGGAACATTTGTTGAAGACAACTGCAGGCAGTGAGCAGAGCCAGCTCAAGAGAGAGGCCTTGGGGGCTGCAACCAGCCAGGCCATACAGACAGGGCTTATGAGCCCTTTAGAACTCACTGCAACCTGGCCCAGGTGCTGACACGGAGGTACAGGATTTAATGTTTGCCTTGGGGGTTTTGGTCTCATTCCTTTTTATTCCCTAATTAATCCCTTTTGAAATTGGGATATTTATCCTGTGCCATTGTATGTTGGAAGTATTTAACTTCCTTCTTGATGGTTACAGGGCTTACACTGCTCTGAGTCTCAGAGGAGACTTTAGATAGTCTTTTTAGCAATGCTGAAATTGTTAAGACTTTGGTGACTCATAGAGGTAGACTAATGCATTTTGTGTAATGAGAAGGACATGAGCCTTTTTGGGACTCAGGCAAAATGTTATGATTCCTGTCTTAGTTATTTTTCTCATTGCTGAGACAAAATACCAAAACCCAGAGTTAATGGAAGAAAGGTTTAATTTTGGCTTACAGTTTGTAGAGGTTTCAGTCAATTCAATTGTCAGCTGGCTCCAAGGCAAGGTGGCATGGGAAAGGGGCGAAACAGGAAAAACAGTCCATAGCAGAGCTGACAGGCAATGGTGAAGCAGCTGCAAGCCTCTCTTTTCCTTTTATCCATCTAGGCTGCAAACAGTTTTGGTGGTGTCACCCACACCCAGGGTGTGCCTCCCCATTATTCACACCCTGATGATAAGCCAATCAGTGGGCTAATCCAGTATCACACACCCTTAATCCCATTAGGAAACACCCATGATTCAGCCACCCTTGAAAAGCCCCACCTATGAATGCATGAAACTGGAGGGAACATCTAGATACAAGCCAAACAGTTTAATCTAAAAAGTCCCACAAAGGTCTCTTGTGTTTAGAGGAGGGGTTTTTCAAAGGTGGTTTGGTCAAGAGGGCACTTTATGCATCAGTAGACTGATCATGGTGAGTTCAGAGCTGAATGTACTGTTTGGAAGGCTCTCTTCTTATTTCTGGCTGTTGGCTTTTCTCTGGTTGCTTCCTGGCTACCATGGATCGAACAACTTTCCCCTGCTATGCTCTTCTGCCATCCCAGTTCTGCCTTGTGACCAGCCTGCATGGCCTGCACGCTCTCAATTTGTGACCCAAAATAAATCTTTCATCCTTTAAATTGCAAGTGTTGAGTATTTTATCCCAACCTTGGAAAAGTAATTACTACACCTGTCTATCTCCTTTATATTTTTCTACTGTTATGTTCTCTTTTACTTATTGATTTTGTCCTTACTATTACTATATATTAGCCTTTTATTTGATATCTTCTCTAAATTTCTGGCATACCATTTTGCATTTTGTTTTGTTTCATTGTGTTAAGGATGACCACTTGCCAAAAGTTTTACAATTTAACGTAGGCATACATAGAAGTGGTTTCTTTCTTGCTCCCTTTTGTTTTCTGCTTAAGAAAATACTCCATGGCTAGGAAAATACAATATCTTGTATTTGCTTCTAAAACTTTAATGTTTTTTAATCATACAGATTTTTAATTCCTAAGGAATTTATTTTTGTGAGTGATATAAAATAAGGAGCTGATTTCTATATTACATCCACTTTCCTTAGAGTTGAATATTGAAGAGTTTAATTTTCACCTGCGATGTGCAGTGCCACATCGGTCACATGTGAAGCTTCCTGACATGAAAGGGTTGGGGTGGCTTTCTCTTATTACACTGTCTTTCTGTCTTCTCTTTCACTAGTGTGGTCTTAGGTGTTAAAATCCAAGCAGTTCAGTATCATCTCTGATTATACTTGTTTTAGGCCTGTATTCCATCTTTGATTTTGATTTTTGACAACTCTGTTTACTTTATTGGAAGATGAGATGTGCACAAGAAGAATTTCAAAAATTTTTATCATTTCTTGGCATTTTGAGGAGTTTTCAGTTTATCTAATTTACAGTACTTACAGAAGTCATAATCTTATAAACTTCCTCAAAACAATTAACATTTCTATGAGTCATTGTATTTTTAATTGCACAATTAAATTGCACAATTGTTTTAGAGCAGAAGTAGTCACATTATAAACAAAAATAGAGGAAGAAAAGTAGCAAGGAGGAAGAGGAGAAAAGGAAAGTAAAAAGAAATAAGATGTGTTGTGTACATGGACCAACTCCTCACTATGAATATAATCATTATGTAAAGCCAACATGTAATAATAAACATAAAAAAGAATTTTTAAGGCGTTGGTAAGTACCACTGAAGGACATTCTTTTTGGAATTTTCTTTCCATTTTGTGTTAGTTCTGTGTAACTACTTGGGGCTCTGGGGCAGAAAAATCTTAATCTCTATCTTTGAATTAAGGATTGTATTAGGTAGAAATAGCCAACCTCTTGAGAACGAAGCTGTTTTAGGGCCCACTACCAAGTCTCATACACAGTAAATGAGTCATGCATTTTTCTTCTACCAAATTACAATAGGATTTATTAGTCTTATGTCAATACACCATCAGAATTAAACTTTACCCAACAGTAAGTTTGACAGAGCCACTATAAGTACTTTGATGTATAGTGAGAAAAAAGGAACATTTTTCCAAGGGAAGAACAAAAAATTTGTATATCATTTGGGAACTATTTCATCTATTCTCAGACACAGATGCAGGTATATTTCTGATAGTATCTCGTTACAGTTTTGTGATAATTCACACAGTGTGAAAGAAGTCCACATGCAACACATTAATAATGGTTTCTTGGAAAGATAAATACTTTTCCTTTCAAAAGTGGATAAACTTAAATTAGTACTCAAAAAGTTAAGATGTTATCATTCTTAAATTTATATTATTCAGAGTTAAGTGTCATATAATTACCACTGTTTGATTGTTTGAATTCTTATTTAATTATTTAAGTTCGTTGTTATTAAAGAACAGAAAATACCCAGGCCTGTCAACTTAGCTTGAGTCAGTTCTGGCAATACGAGTCATGCTTCAGTTTTGCCCTTAAGGAAGTGCCACTTAAGCATTCTTTGAATTTTGCATCCATTTCCTGGTTCTGAGCTTCACTGAACAGGTTTTTCCAATCCCCAACTTCACCTACAACAATAAAATACATTGCAGCCAGACTGTGTTACGGTGTTTCTTCTTGATTTTACCACCCACCCTCCCAATTTTACTTTTTTTTTTTGGTGCTGTATTTCACTTTGATATTTTTGAGGCTTTTTTTTTTTTTTTTTTTTTTTTGTACCGGGGATCGAACTCACAATCGCCCGCTCGCTAGGCAGGCGCTTATCCCGCTGAGCTAAACCCCCGGCCCAATATTTCACTTTGAAATATAAGAATTGACACACAAAAAATTGTCCCGCCTAACGTGAGCAAACAGGCCCATGTGACACACTTAGTGCCTCCCGACACGGCCACAGCCACCCACCAACTGCAAGCCAGCTCTGCATTTTGTTTCCCCTCAGCATGAGGCAGCAGAGGAGTGGAAAGACCAGCATACCTGACCAAGGGAGGGTAATGTGTAGGCCCAGAAAGCCAGCAAACTCAGAGACAAAGTATGCACCTGGCTGACCACTCTGTACCCTCAACCTCAGGAGAGCTGATCACAGGAAATCGCTGCAGACAGGGAGTGAGCCAGGCTCAGAATTAGAACCCACCCCCCAAATGTAAGCTCAGGCTGGGGACATGGCCGTCCTCTCAGAAGGGAAAACCAGACTCCGTGAGTGTTGCCATTAAGTGCAAAAGTCAGCTTGAACTCGCATCCCGAGGCCTACACCCAACCAAGACCGGGAGTTGACTGAGTTTCCCATCTAGCAGTGTGGGCAGGGGCAGCCTTGGCTTAGGCGGGACCGCAGTCTGGGGAGAAGGGATGCAGGGGCCGGGGGTGCAGGACGGGAACCTCAAAAACCCACATGCCCTGAAGCTGGGAGGGAAAAGTAGTGACTGCCTAGACTCCAAGACTACGAATGCTGGGAAGAAGCTATTACTTTAATTTTTAGAAATTATTATTTTCTTTCCTTCGTTAGTATTTTTGGGGTTTGAGGAATTTCCTCCTTTTGACTTTTTTTCTCCTTTAGTTTCTTTTCTCTCCTTTGCTCTATTCCCCTTCCAACTGCTTTTTCTTTCTTCTTGTCTTTTTCTTACGTTTTGCTCTCTTTTTTTTTCTTCATTCTCTTATTGGGTCTTTGCTGAAGCTATTTTGCTAAAGCCAGTAGTTTCCTCCTCCTCTCTCACGTTCTCGTCCTCTCATACTCCACTAAGTCTTACAGTTCTGCCTTTCTCACTCTCCAGTTTCCTACCATCTCTACCCTTACTAAACTTTATGAAACGCTAGAAAACTCTTGTTTATTAGCTCTGTGACAACAGAAAAGCAATGTCTCCAAACCTTGGAGCCTTTCCCACATTTGGGAAAATTAAAGTTTTTGTATCCCTTTTGTGGCAAGGTTTAAGGCCAACAATGTGTTTAATACATGATACCCACTGTTAACTGTTGTCTTTGTTATATGTACTGCCTTCAAATCTTGTTAGAGTATATTTTCATTAAAAATAAAAATATGAATGGGCAATTCTTAAGCTTTCTGATTGTGTATTCTCACAAGAGCTGAAAAGAATGACATTTTGTAAAACCATGACTCAGAGATGTCTAATTGCCTACCCAGCATCTATTTTCAACCTCTTCCATATTAAAATCCCGAATTTAATTTGGTAATACTGCATCCAACTTAAAAATAAAATCACGTTTCTAACTACCGCTGACAAAATGCTGGAAGCTACTGAACAGGGCCTCCAGGAAAGCTTTCCCCCATTTCACTCATTTAGCTAATATCCTTGATCCTCTCCCTTTGCCTGCTTAGCTGTGAAGGCTGTAGTGTGGCTCCAGCTGCTAAGAGGTAACAAGATGGCAAATAGAACTTAGATAGAAGGAACAGGAAAATGGTGTAGAGCTGCAGTTACAGCTCTGGGCTGTTCAGGTCCAGCCTTCTTATTAAGAAGGAGCAAAATACCATTATGTGCAAACTCATTTCCTAACTGATACAATATCCCAGAAGCTTGAGCAAGTTCACCTTTGCGAAACAGGAAGGGACCAACAGCGCCATGGGTCTCCTGAGACTTTTCTCGCATTGCTTGGAAGGTGCTCCCGGCAGAGATAGTTTGAATCTGCTCCCCAGTTAGAGAGAATTTAAAGAATTCAGCTATTTGTTTTATGCCAGTGGCCAGATTCTGAAAGCAAAAAATTTGAAAGATAAACGTCTTTCCATGAGAATATGCTGGAACAAAGACAGGCTCTTAAATCAGAGTGGATTTATTCACCCTAACACTCTGGTTCACCTGTGTATCTCTCGTCAGTCTTACTTTGATACTTCATAACTCTATTAGGTATCACTAGAAGGTGTTCTCTACTAATTGTATTTTGTTGTTTCAATTTATGACTTTTATTTAGAATAAAATAAAAATAATGAGAGTAACATGTCTTACTTTTTTCATTGCTGAGACATTATTCCCACACTCACAAGTTAAAGGAGGAAAGGTTCACAGTTTCTAAAAGCTTCAGTCCATAGTCAGGTGGTCCCAAGGCAGGGTGGCATGGCGGTGGAGAAAGGGTTCATGGCAAAGCAGGCAGCAGGCAGGGAAGCGGCAAGGAGCAGCAGCAGCCTTCTTTCTCTCCTTCCCCTTCTCTTCCCCCTCCAGGCTGTAAACCTATTGCTTGTACCTCCCACAACCAGGGTGGGGCTTCCATGACCCACAACCTGAACTATACTAAACCCATTTAGTTATCACACACCTTTAATCCCAGTATCACATACCCTGGATCCAGTTACCTTTGAAAAGCTGTGCTTTTGAGTGCACGTGGCTTTGGGGGAACTATCTAGATACAAGTCACAACACAGCATCAGTTAGCAGGTCAAATTTTTTTATCTAGAATATTTATTGTATTGAAAAACACTAGCCTAGAGAAGCAGAAAAATTAATGTGTTCATTTGAATTCTCTTTTCTCCAGAACCCAATTTAGTTAATGCTTAATTCTACCAAGAGTATAATTTTTAGAATCATCAAAATGAATGAATCTTGAAAATTATTTTGTCTAACTGCCTTTGTAAATCACGAACCACTCAACATTGTGCCTGACTAATGTAGATTCATAAATATTCTAGAACATTTCCTTAAACTGTTTTCTGCGCAACACTAAGTCTTTTTCTTTTTTTTTAATCGGTACCAGGGATCGAACTCACAACTGCCTGCTTGCAAGGCAGGTGCTGATGCCGCTGCCCTAAATCCCCAGTCCCAACACTAACATGTTTTAAAATAGTTACAAATGTTTCATGTGGGAGAATCAGGAGAGAAAGTTGAGATCAAATAAATTTATAATTCTTCAGATGACACAAAGGTTAAGATGAGTTTTTGCAGCCCTTCTCAAGAGTCTTTATTTACTTTTTTTTTTTTTTTTTTTGGTGCTGGGGATCGAATCCATAACCTTGTGCTTATTAAGCAAGTGCTTGAACTGCTGAGCTAAATCCTGAGCCCAAGAGCTTTTAGAATACCAGTACAGAATGTGACTGTCCAGAGGGTCTGGCTATATAATGCCATGCTGCCTAAATCTATTTGTATACACAACCTTCTTCTAATCTCTGAGGAAGAATTATTAACATCTGGGGCAAAACTAGTTTTCTATGGAGCATAAATTTTAGAAGGATTTTTCTAGAGAAAAAAAAAACCTAAACTAGAATGTTCTTTTATGTTGTATAAATGCATTCTTTAAGCAGAAAGAATGATTCAGTTGTACTTACTTTCTAAAAGAGTGTCATAGGAAGTCAGTTTTAACTCAGCCCAGGAAGCTTCTGACACAGTCTGTTCTAACATGCTTTTTTTCCCCGGTGGGGATCTAGGACTTTGACTTCTTTATACCTCACTAGCTGCACCTTCTGTCTCGTCTGCTGAGTCTCTCATTTTCCCATACTCCATTTTGGAGAGTTCCAGGGCTCAATTCTTGGTCTTCCTCTCTATCTGTGTGCCTGGGTATGTACCTGATGGATTTAAATGCATCTGTGTGCCCATGATTCCCAGATTTTATCTATAGTCCGTAATGCTCTGCATTGAGTGGTTCATGATTTACTCAGTTGCCTACTTGACCTTTTTATATGGATGACAAATAAACAGCTTCAATACTGTGTCCAAACCGCCGACTTCTCCCACAGTCCTGCTTCGCATAGCATCAGCCCTACTTTATTGATGGCAACCAGGAATTCTAGTGACCTGAATAATACTGAAATCTCGTTGGACTCCTCTGTTTGTTCCTGCCCTCCTCTCCAATGTGGCAGCAAACCACATTGGCTCCTCTTCCTTCAAAATGTATCCAGCATTCAGCCACTTCTTATCTGCATCATCATTTTCCCTGACATGGACTAACGCAGCAGTCTCTTCACAGGTTTCCCTGAGACACTGCTGCCCTAACGCACTCTCCAACGCCAGCTACATGATTCCGTTAAAAACACATCACCTCCCGTCAGCTTATGCTGAGACACTACTGAGCCTTCGCCCATCACCTGAAGTGAAAGCCAGAGTCATGTCCCTGGTCCGCCACACCAATCCTAATGCTCCTAATGTTCTGCCCTCATTGGCAGCGCTGGCTTGGCTCCCTCCTACTGGCCCAGGCACGGCTGCTCCTTTGCTGTACCTCAGTTACCCCAGCGGCACCCACCCCAAGCCCCTCACACCCATCAGCTTCCCCCACCCAGACTGCCTCCCTCCAGTTACCAATTTGGCTCACTCTCACCTTTTACAAACTGTTGCTTAAATCCCATTCCCCTCATGGGAACGTCTCATACCATCCTGTTTTCTACTGGGATTTCTCCAATATTCCAATTCCCCACCCCTGGAATTTCCAGCTTTCATTTAAACAGCCATGCTGCTTCTTTCTTCTCACATTTTACACTTGGTTGCATCTGTTATTTACTATTCTGGTTCCCTGGTTTCTCCAGCTAAAAAGGAAGCTTGTCCAGGACAGTGAACATTGTCTGATTTGTTCATAGATTTATTACCTGGGCCTGAGACAATGCTGAGGAGTCTCCCAACTCAATCTTTGTTGAGTGAATAAACAATTTTTCTTTTCTTTCTTTTTTCTTTGTCTTTTTCCTTTTTATCTGTACTGGGGATCGAACTCACGACTGCCTGCTTGCAAGGCAGGCGCTTATGCCGCTGAGTTAAATCCCCAGCCACCAAATAAACAATTTTTAAAAAGAAAATTAACTGGAAAAAAGCACTTCACAACCAAATGCATGTTCAAGTAAATCAGCTAAAACTTACTTATTTTTCCCATTATCATTGGAGAAATTTGGACTATCCATCATAGAGGAAAAATATAACAGTTGCCATTAAGTTATTAAGCTTTATTTTACTTCTGTTAAATAAACAAGCTAAGTATGTGCGTGTGGTTGGATTTTTCCAATACATTGCAAATCTGGAATGTTTTTAAGCTGAATACCATATTTTTTCATAAAACCAGACATTGTGAGTAATATTTTACGTAGTAGTTCAGTATATGTGCTGCCAAACCAAGTACTATGTAGTAGCTTATAACAAATCTTTCTCTAGAATCTTAATCATCACAGTCTCACCTCTTTCAGGTCTTCATATAATATGAGCTTGACATTTTCATCATCAAGGTGTTCGCTCCAGTTAATTGCAAAATCAAAATAGCTTCCCCAAGAAACTAAAAACAGAGCAGAAACTTCATAAGGATTTTATATAACTGAAGAAAAAAATGATAGTTATTTTATGCTATAAAGTATAAGCTGTACATATACGTATACACTTGACATGATGTCTATAAATTATTACAAATCCCTGTATCAAAAGAAGCAACACGGGGGCTGGGGATTTAGCTCAGTGGCATAAGTGCCTGCCTTGCAAGCAGGCAGATGTGAGTTCAATCCCTGGTACCGATAAAAAGCAACAACAACAAAAAAAGAAGCGACATATACCAGTTCCATTGCTCAATTTCTGTTTTGTTATCTTCTTGAATGGCTTCCATACATAATACAAGTAAACAAATTGTGAAAGTTATTGGAGAAAAACAAGACATCTGGGTGTGGTAGTACAGGCCTGTAATTCCAGAACTTTGGAGGCTGACTCAGAAGGACGGCTGTGAGTTCAAGCCCAGCCTGAACTACATAGTGAGTTTATGGCTGGCCTGAACTACCCAGCAAGACCTAGTCTCAAAAAACAAACAAAAACCCCAAAATTCTATAAGACATTCACGAAAACAAGGGAATAATCAGCAATGATACACAAAAACTGACAAAAATAATACCAGAAAGAAAGGACAAAGAAGACATTATCTACATCAGCATTGTCTGAAAGAAATATAACACAAGCCCATACAGAGCAAAAGAAACAGGTAAAATTGTTTTTAACGTTTTACTTTATCTGCTGGGCGTGGCAGTGCACCCCTGTAATCCCAGCCTTTGGGAGGCTGAGACAGGAGTACTGCAGGAAGGCAGTACTGAGTTAAAGAGTTAAAGAGACAGACCTTGCCTCAAAAAAACAAAACAAAACAAAAAACCTTTACTTTTAAAACCTAATGTGTCCAAAAATATTATCATTCCAACATATAATCAACATAAGATTATTAGTAAAACATAGTAATCTTATGTTACTACTAGTAGTACTTGGTATATGTTTAGATTTCATAAAACTTACATTTGCAAAAACATAGACCCATATCCAAATTAGTAAAAATGTAACCAAATTCTTTTCAATAACTGAATTGAGTACCCATTTTTATTTAAATTTCAATCAATTAAAATTAACTAAAATTGAAGATTTAGTTCCTAAATTACACTAGTTACAGTTCACAAGCTCAGTTGCCATGTATAGCTAGGTTAACACATTGGGCACTGCAGATCTAGACATTGATTAACTGTGTTGTTTATGAGTTGTGTGATTTGGAATAACTCCTTCAACTTTTTACCTTACTATTCTCATCTGTAAAATAGGATCATCATGTAACAATAAACACATTCCTCCAGTATAGTTTCTTAGTTACCTAGATAATGGTTCCTGTTCCAGTTCTAGTGGCTTCTGTCTTTTAGAAACAGCTGGTCACTGTGAGGCATAGCTGGTCACTATGATGCACACTGTATAAACCAATCCCTAATTGAGTAGCCATTCTGCTTCTGTGCTTCTTGCTTGCTTATTCAGTATAAGCCTTAGACCGCCAGAGGTGCAGACCTGATAGTCTTGGAATGAGCCCAATCAGTGCCCATCTATGTAAATAAATCTACCTCCAAATCCTGGTGTCATTTCGGCGTTTCTGGTTGCTGCAAGTTGCAGTTATAGTCAGTGTAGTGACACCATGTGCGCAGTCTCAGCACTCTGGAAGGTTGGCTAGGAGGATTCCAAGTTCAAGCCCAGCATGTGTTCAGTTTTAGCTCCACTTCTTAATGCCTATGTGACTTTTTTTTTTTTTTGTACTGGGAATTGAACTCATGACCTCACACTTGCCGGGCAGGTGCTTGTGCCTGTGCTGCTGAGCTAAATCCCCGTCCCCTATGTGACCTTTCTATGACTTTATTTCCTTCCTTATGAAACGAGAATAATAACAGTATTATCTTCATAGGGTTCTTGTAAGAAATAAAATTAAATACCAGGATTTATCCGAGTGCCTGCAATGTGGTATCATTGCTGCATCTTACCATTGCCAATCAATTAATTAGGCTGAAAGAATGTATTTCCCAATGTAAATTGTCCCACTGATAATTTTCTTGTCATCTAATGTCTTGTGTTATTAATGGAGCAGCATTTTAGCTTTGCCTTAACTGCCTCTGGAAAGTCTTAGCAAAGGATGAGGGGATGAGCCAACATACTTATAACGATGCTTCATAGTTACACAGCAAGACCTAGGGCTTTTCTTTTTTCTTTAATTTTTTGTCTTTTTCCTTTTTATCGGTACCAGGGATCTAAGTCACGACTGCCTGCTTGCAAGGCAGGTGCTTACGCCACTGAGCTAAATCCCCAGCCCCAACTTTTCTTTTTTCAAGCCCCATATTTAATTTTTGCTTGGGTGCCGATACTTTATCTACTGTCCATGCATGTAGAATGGCGTGAACTTTATGTCCATCACCTTTCAATGTGCTCCTTTCAAACTGCAGCGTTTATCTGTGCAGTGAGGTACTGCCCCATCTTCAGAAAGAAGGATTCCCTGCTCTTTGTGCTGACATGAATGAACGAGGAGGACATTATGCTAAATGAAAGGAGCCAGATCGAGAAAACACTGCACACTCTCACTTGTAGACTTGTAGAGCCAAAAATGACTTTGAATCCGTAGAGTGGAGTGATGCTTTCCAGGAGAGGCGAAGGGGAAGAAATGGGTAGATTAAAGGAGTTTTGAATTATTCAGTTATGAGTAAGTTCACAAATCTTAGGTACAACATCGAGACTGTGGTTAGTAGTATGATATACTTAAAATTTGCTAGAAGAGGAGATTTTCAGTTTTTTCTCTGCATATGCGGAAGGATAGATGTTAACATGGAAGTGTGGTAGTCACTTCACCATACACACAGTGAGAGCATCTTGTGCACACACAAACACAGATCATAAAAAAATCAGCACGAGGTGGTTCTCTTACGGTAAACTGCCAACAGCTTCCCCTCTAGGGTTACCTGTCCTCAGTCCCGCCATCTGTCCACTATAATGACTCCAGGCCACCACTAATTCATCGGGCTATTCATCGCTGTCTGGTCACCGTGCTCAGAATTACTTATGAGCAATGGAACAACTTCAGTTGATTTAACTTTTGTGACTAGTTTCCTCATCTGTAAATAGGGGATTTACTTAGTTTGCTATGAAATTTCAGTGAAATTATACACCTAACAATTTAGTACAGAATGAATCAGTAGACACAAAATTGTAGTTCTCAATTACCGGAGGTAAAACATCAACATGAATTAACAAAAACGTTTCTTTTTTGGCAAACAAATAGTTTTTTAAATATAGTGGTTCAGGGGGCTGGGGATTTAGCTCAGCGGCATAAGCGCCTGCCTTGCAAGCAGGCAGTCATGAGTTCAATCCCCGGTACGGATAAAAAGACAAAAAAAAAGTATAGTGGGTCAGAGTCAGATTTTTTAAAAAACTTTTTTGGTTTCTATCATTGTGTCATACAATAACCTAAGGGAAAAAACTCTAAATGCCTTTCCCTATAACTCTGTTAAAAGACTTTTTTGTCTCGCATTTGTTTTGTAGCCACACAATATTCATTGTCAACTTATATATTGTTCAGATTATTTTAAAATGCATTGTAATTATTTGATGCTCAGAACTATTGGTGCCATAAAACTCCATTTAATGTAATTTTTGGTTCCTAAATCTTATTTCTTTCTGTACCCCAAAGTACCATATTTGGGAAGTTATCTACTGAAATAAGAATTTTTTTACTGCAGCCATACCTTGTCCTTTCATGAAGTGCTTGAAGAACTCATCCCAGGAAGCATAGCTTGGAATATCAGGGACATCATTGTGGAAATGAAAAAAAGATACGGCCGTATCTTTGGGGTTTCGAAATATCACCAATATCTGTAGAGCAAAAACTAAGTTAATTTATTTATGTCTTTGTTTTGAAATTCTGCAAAGTAAAAGGGTGAGCAATGTCATTGTATCCACTTGTGCATTATATAACTGCGCTAACAGTGACACAGAAGTAAAAGATGAAATCTAGGGAGAATGGAGGAAGAAAGAAGGAAAAGAAGTTGGATGCTACAGCTGAGGACTTTTGCTAGTCATGAATTTAGACAGAAGAAAGGCATATATAGGATATATATATATATATATATATATATGAAAACATATATAACAGAAAAACAGCAACTTTCTGGGATACTCATAAGCACACAATCTGAAAGGCTAAAGCCACAAATGCAACAAAAATTACAGCCTAGGGTGCAGCTCAGCGGCACAGCGCCTGCCTGGCAAGCACCAGGTCCTGAGTTCAATTTACAGTAACAAACAGGCAAATTACACAATAATTTTAAGGATCAAGGAAATAAGGTTTAGAGTTGGTGAGAGAAGATGCCAAGACGATACTGGTGGGTGACATAAACGAATCAGAACCCCTACGAAGAGTAGGACATAAGCACTGTAAAGGGCAAACTGGAACCCAGGAGCACGGAAAGGCTGGGGAGCGCACACGGTCTTCTGCTCTGCTGCTTTCTAATCAAACTGAGGACATGGAGGACACATAATGGAGCACGTTAGTGACCTCAGAGCACTCTGAAATAACACGGAAGGGGTCAGATGGCTGGAAACAGGAAGAGCTCCTTTCACTTTCAGAAAGAGGAAGACAGATTTTGCGAAATCCCGGTTTGTGGTTCTGCAGAGGCCGCACAGAGGAGGACGCAGTGACCAGCAGGGGGCAGCAGGGGCTCTGAGAACTCCCGCGGGCTAGATCAGGGTTTCTTGGGAAGTGGTTTCCAGATCAGTAGCTTGAGGAGCGTTTGATTTCTTCTGTGAGAAAAGGAGGAAGCAGGTGCAATGACTCGTATCAAACTGACTGCGTACTCAAATACAAAGAGTAAATAATTAATGTAGCCGGGGCTTTAGCTCAGCGACACAAGCGCCTGCCTGGCAAGCGTGAGGTTGTGAGTCTGACCCTCATACCAAAATAATAATAATAGTAATAATAATAATGATAATAAATGTAAACCTTTCTTAGTTAACTTCATGAGGGATTGAAAGAAAGATACAAAGCAATACTTTTTTTTTTTTGTCTTTTTGAGACAGGGTCTCACTATGCAGTTTAGGCAGCTCTTGGGCTCACTTTGTAGCCCAGACTGGTCTCCAGCTTGTAACGATCCCGCCTTAGCCTTCTGAATGCTAGGATTACAGATTTTTAAATTTTTTTTTTTTACCAAATTCGTAAATATGAAATGAAGAGGGGATTTAGACCTCAAAACACTTGTGCTCTAACGAAATGAATGAAAACTAACAGAATCAAATTTAATATTGTTAAAACGGGCTTGGGTCTTAACTTTAGCCCTTCCTCCAAGTATGGTACATTTGAAGCTGTATTTAATTTACAGTTTCACAGATATAAACTTGAAATGTGAGGGCCAAATGGCTCATGTGTCAACAAATCTCCAGCATCTGCCTCTCACCGTCCTGTGACTCCTTCTTTGCCCTGATGCTCCTGAGGAAGTGGCACTCCTTACAAGCCTGCATGCTCCAAACTAAAATGCTTCATGAATTACTTCTGCTCAGTTTCTTATAGAATCATTCAGAGCAATTTAGAATTGTGATTATGCTAACTGCATTAATAAGGGAAAATTATATGTTAAAGGGTTATTTCTGAGGTTTTAGATTCTTCACATAAGGAAAACTTTTCACAGAACTGTCCAAAGCTACTTTAGAAAATAAAGGAGTCTCTTTATAACTGGAGGTGCTCAGTCTAGAATCAGACAGCCACTTAGTGGAATTCAAACACCTTCATGGGCATCAGAGTGACTGTTTAAGCTTTTCCACTTCTAAGCTCCCAGAATTCTTGTACCACAGCCACAAGACTGCTCTTTCTAAATCTCTACTTCCCTAATGCCCCCCCCCCTTTTTTGGTCTTTTTCCTTATTATCGGTACCGGGGATCGAACTCAGGACTGTTTGCTTGCAAGGCAGGTGCTTATGCTGCTGAGCTAAATCCCCAGCCCCCAATGTTTCCCTTTTAACTCTCCCTTTTCTTGTCCTTTATTCCTTCCTTGTAGCATTGAGAGTTAACACATCCATTTTCCTCGTTTTCTTTATTTGCTATGTCATTATTATTCTCTGAATTCTTCATTGTGATATTTGAGAGTTTAAGCCTTGATTTTAATTCATTCTGGTCCGTTTCTTCTTAGAAAATAGGCACCAAGACATAGGGAATGAGGCACGAAAGAAGGGGACAGAAAACAAAAATGCCTGGGTAAAAACTAATAATTTTAGGAGATACATTAACATCAACTAGTGAAACAAGAGTTTTAAACAAATGATAAGAACAGCCAGAGCCCAGCCAGTTCTGTATGCACGGCATACATTTTATTTTAAGTGAAACACTGAAACAAAATAGTTTCAGATCTCAGGCAAAGAGTGCTTCCCAGAAAGAATCAAAAGAAAAAGTTTACTCATCTTACTCAGCTGTATCCTTTTGTCACTCTAAATATCTCAGTGAAATCTGTTATAAAATAATTACAAAACACTATGGTGTCTACATTCCATTTGATGCCTAAGTGTTATGCACTAATTGAAAATACATTTGACTTGAGTGCTTTACAGCTCATACAGCAAGTATATCTGAAGAAACAGCAAAAGAAATACAGAGTCTTGCATTGCACTATTAAAATACAGAGTCTTGCATTGCACTATTAAAATTCTGCAACAACGAACAAACTCATCACGTGTCTCAATGAGTCTCTCTCTGGAGGCGTGGGAACTTCGCTCAGTGGTAGAGCGTTTGCCTGTCATCGCGAGGCGCTGGGTTCAATCCCTACCAGGGTCACACAGACATACAAAAGTATATATATAAACAAAATTTAAGAATTCAAGTATCCGTAGGAAAGGACACTCACCTTGACTTTATTCTTAACGATGGACCAAGGTAATCTGTCATAATGGAGATGCGTTGTCAGAATCCTTGGTGATGGAAACTGTTTCATTCTCTTAAAAATACATACAATGAGGTGAGACAGAGAGGGTGTGCCTGGTGAATCAGCTCTACTTACGCTGTCTAAATGGAGCTTCAAGTCCTGCTGTCACTATTTCTTCTTATCTCGCTCCCCTTCCTATTTTTCTAGCTGAGGAATAAAGAATCATAAACAAACAATTTTCTAACATCTCCTCCGAATGTCCTTGCTGAATTCTGCCTGTCATTTATCAACATCTTTTTGTCCCTCCCAGTTTTTCTTTTTCTCTTTTCCAATAATTATATTAAATCTATTTTGTGCAAGACAGTTCATAATCTGCAGTTCACTCTTCCACTTATTTGGATCTCATCAGTATTTAAAGTCTTTAACAAAAATAGCCAAATGTTCCTGGTTTCTGCAAATCTGTTTTTAGCATCTAGGATTTTTTTTTTTTTTTTTTGCCAGATAAACCTCCAGTGAAATATTTCAGCAGAACCCTGAAGTCTCCTGTCACTTAAATATCTGAGACATAGTTTACAAGAGAAATTCATGCCAGTGTGAGGACTTGGACATGATTCTTTTTCTGTTATTTATTTTTACCAATTTTTTTACTTTTAATTTTTTTAGTACCAAAAATCAAACTCAGAAGCTCCCATATACTAAGCAAGTACTCTACTACTGAAATGAGTTATACAGCCAACCTGCTACTGATACTTTTTTTATTTTTTGTCTTTTTCATTTTTATGGCTACCAGGGATCGAAGTCATGACTGCACACTTGCAAGGCAGGCGCTTATACCGCTGAGCTAAATCCCCAGACCCCACTACTGATACTTTTAAAAATAAAGTTTTCTCTTTAATTTGCCAGGGTAAATGGTTTTATCTTAAATTCAACTCTTTAGAATATGTTATGTGGGGTATTAAGGCTTTAAATTTTTCAACTCCATATTTTAGAGGTCACAAATACTTAATGACAGCTATAAAATTATCTATTCATTGCAAGCAATAAAAAGATATTTAAGCATCTATAACCAATTATTAGAATATAGTGGAGAGCTCAACTCAAGCAAGGGATAAAAAAATGAGACTTAGAGAACAAAAAGCAATTTAGATCAATGATATGGGTCCAAGTGGTGATTAGTAATAACAGTATCTGATTTATATAAAATTATACTTTTTAGTATTTGAAGTACTTTTACATTCATTCACAATGATCCTGCCAGGCAGATAACAGAACCCCTATTTTAGAGATTACAAATAACCTTTAAGGTTTTAAATGCTTTATGCAAACTCACAGAGGTGGTAATTTTCAGATTACATTATAGTGTACTGTTTCTACTAAACTACATGGGCAAAAGTAATATGACACAGGAGAAATTGCAAAGTTACTAAAAAGATTAGAAAAATTATCCGGGGGAAAATAGAAGTTAAGCGTCATGAAACTAAATATGTAACACTATCTTCTTGAAAATGTATAATACAGCCAAGCTGTAAACAATGTAAGACCAACTATTATACCTTGTTTAGAGAAAGTATATGCATTCTAGAAAAGTTCTCTGTAAACTGTATTGCTATTTAAAACTGAAAGGCACATTGCATAGAAAAGTATCTTTGCTCCTAGACATAATAGAATTGCCATTAAAATACAAAAACAAGCCTTTAAAATCCCTGAAAAAAATGAACATTTCTGATAAGTTGTACAATTCAAAATCTAAAATACTGCACCTGGGAGCTAAAAATCTGTGCCTCATCACCTTTTCCAATATTTTAAAGTTGATTTAAGTGTTTCTAGGAGAGTTTCTTGGCTTTGAAAGTCATTTAGATAGTTTTACCAAAACTGGAAATTCCTTTCACCAGAAGTACAGTTTTGCCTTTCATAACTGAAGCAAAGTTGCAGACTGCAAGGTCTGAATACAGAAACAATACTTTGCTTTACATCCACACTGCCTGAGTTGATGGGACGGAAGGCAAGCTAGCGCAGGAAGGGTAAGGCCAAGTTTCCCAAGAAAAGAGAGTTCCCAGGAGTACTGAGTGGGTGCCAGTGGAGTCTTGGCTTGTCAAAATCTTGTTCAGGAATAAAAACTGATCTCCGGAGGTTTCCTACTGGCAAATGGCTTATGTTACAAAGTATCATTTCAGATAACTTGTTTGGAAATGAAAATAGATTGTTCTGAAGATACAATTCCATAGATAATGAGAAAAGTTACAAGTCAGCATCCCAAACTGTCTTGATCATACGATAGATAACAAAGGCAGGTACTGTACAATAAGATTACATGGGAAAGATACATACCAAGTAAGAGGACCAGAGGCCATGATGGAAGTTTTGAAAGGAGGGCTGAGAAGCTGGACAAGTTAGCATCATTTCTAAAGGCAATGTTGGTTGCACTCTTCTTAGGGGAAATTTCTCACCTAAGAAGAGGCTTTGTAAAATTCCTGATCACCTCCGGGTGTGGTGGTGCTTGCCTGTAACCCTGGCACTTGGAAGGCTGAGGCAGGAGGATTGCTGTGAGCTTAAAGCCAGCTTAGGCTACATAGCAAGTTTAAGTCCAGCCTGCATTACATGGTAAGATCTTGTCTCCAAAAAAAATCCTGGCCACCAATCCTGCCTACATGTGTGAGACTGTCCTAACTCAGCCTCCATTAGCTGTACATTAGCACAGACGGCTCTCACAATGAGGGACCCACGATGCTGATGTGGCTTCTGGTCCTTCTGCTGTCTCACAGGGTCCTTTGCTGCCTGGCAGACCTAGGATTCAGTGGTTGCCTTCCCCGGCCCTGCCCCAAGTCCTTGAATACCTCCCTCCTCCAATGTGTTTTTCTGCTACTTTGGCCCAATCCAAAACAGACTTCCTTCCGCCTAGATTCTAACTTTTATGCTTGTATTTTTCATCAGCCCAGTGTCACGGTCATTTTCCAAAAGCTGTGTCTTAAGTCTCAATCCAGCACCTTCCTTCACAGTAACTTTCTTTCTTATCATAGTTGTGTCTGCCTGTTGGGAATGCTAGTGTGAACACTTCTGTAAGTTTTGTGGAGAAGTCACCCTTGAATGGAGCCCGCCTTCCTTCCCACTGCAGCCTGTGTGTGTGTGTGTGTGTGTGTGTGTGTGTGTGTGTAACAGGAAAGGTGACCTGTTAATATTTTCGCACACATCAGGGACTTGATTCCTTCGTTCCTATTTGGTCCTTATCTACTCCTCACATACACCAAAGTCATACTTGAGGTAGGGACATAAACATAATGGAGATATAAAAAGGAAACAAGATGAGTTATGTACATGGATTGGCTCCCCACGATGAATGTAATCATTCTGTACTTCGAACACATATTAATAAAAATAAACTTTGGAAAACAAGACTTATTTCTACTTGCATTCTTCCCACGTCTCTTTCTTGAGAGATAAAGCCTTTTATATTTTTGCTTTCAGTTCATTTTCTGAGATTGTTTAGCTTTCTTTCCCCTCTACTTATAAAAAAAGGAACGCGGATGATTATAAATTGTCATTTTAAAGAGCTGAAATCAGAAAGTTTGAGTTCAAATTTGGCTTGCATTTCATCTTGGGCAAGTGTTTAAATTTTCTTTTGGGAATGGTTTTGTGATAAAAATATGAAAACTACTAAAGATATGGTAAGCATATATTAAATTGCAATGTGTTACACTTTTTGAACGTTACATTAAAGAATCTCTGAAATGGAAGAAATCTTTCTGTGGTAATTTGTTGTAAGTTTAAAGGCTGTTTGTACTAACCTCGTACTTTTCTGAGTCTCCGCATTCAAGTACTGGGAATTCTGGATATTCGTATCTTCTTTTGGTAACAGTAAATATTAATTCACTGACAATGTGAAGAATCCAATTTGAACCTAGAAAATAAAAGCTCTCTAACATAAAATCCAGAAAAATGAAAGTTCACTAAAGAGTCTGAATGTTAAAAGCATGTTACTTTAGCATACACATAATGAAAAATCTACAACCATCTATATGTGTGCACTTAGTTATTCTGTGTTTAAAATAACCTGAGCTATGGGAAGAAAGATTTTCACAAGACAGTATTTGCTTTTCTGTGGTAGTGGTAGGGAACACACCTAGAGCCTCATGCATGCCCGGCGAGCACTCTGTCACTGAGCGACATTTCCCGGTTCACATTTACTTAAACATTAGTGTGAAATCCAGTTTATCTTAAAATTCAAGTTACTTTATTTCTCAGAGGCCTCCTTTAACAAGAGGCAATGCTTCTTTCTGAATCTAGATGATGTTCCTTATTTAACAATGCTCTGCTCTAAAAATAGCTTTTTATTAAATATCACCCTTATATTACTATTTTTGATTAATGAATGTTTTAATATTTTCTACGGTACTGCATACTTTTTTTCTTTTGTGTTGGAGGAAATAAGGATCCAACTTAGGGCCTTGTGTATGGTAGGCAAGTGTGATTACACTGAGCTACCCCCCAGTCCAGGGGTAAATAATTGTGATCATATCTATTTAAATATGAACATAGCAATAAATGTTACACTTTTAATATATTATATACTATATATAGTTGGTTAAGAGAAAGAAAATGTTAAATGAAGCTGGCTTTATTAAGGAACAGTTAAATAATCAAAAGTAGATCATACAAAATAGAATAATTTGGATTCTTGATATCTTCTCTTCTGTTGATAAAGAGCCTCTGTAAAAATGATTTGAGAAACTGGGGAATTGATGTTTAATACTGAAAAATAATCTACTACATGGAAATCATTATATCAATGACATAAAAATCCACGCTTTTGTCTTCGAATATCAAGATGAAAATGTCTAAGACTGCCAGGCTCCCTGGACTCCTGACTCTGTATTTTGTCCTTCCAGACCCAGCTCCATTTCCTTTGCCGTCCGCCATGCACCGTATTCTTTCTGCGCAGACATCTCTCAGACACCGCGACTTTAATCCAGCACCGCCAGCAGTCTGTTTTGCCACCTGCATTCTTAACCACTTAGACGCGCTCCTCACTGATCTCAGCCAGCTTCATGCAGAAATGAAGGGACTTTGTCCCAATTTTATCTGTCACCCTCCCCAAACGAATACATTGGAAAAATGTATTAAAGGAAATGGCGTTATTTACCACACTTGGGGTAGGATGCCAGCACAATGTCATCGCTTCTGGCTTCGAAGGTGTCCAGCGCTTGGAAAGTCTCTGAGGTGCACATGGTGACTGGGTAAGGAATTCCCTCATAGGTGAAGAATAAGCGGGAAAGGGCGGTTTCTCTGGATTTTTCTAAAGCATCATCAATGTACTCAATAAACTTGGACACAGCCATGCTGACTCCCTGCTGAGGACTCTGCTCCGTGGCTGTCCTGGTGCACTGACTGCTTTTAATGGAGTCTTTCAGGAACTAGAATAAAAAGCTCCTCCCATTCATATGAAAAAGAAATAATCATTTAATGCTCATCCGCCTCATTCCCTTTCACATGCCATTCTCTGGAGAAAGGTAACACAGGTGCAAAACGAGCTGGGGATCAGGAACATGACCTCCAGTGCTGATTGCGTTACCTCTCAGGCAACCCATTTGATAAAAAAAAGAATCAAATCTCCTAATAGAAGATTAATAGAAATTAGATAGCTAACAAGTCGATGTTTAATCGAATTGAGTATCTGAATTGCCTCTTAGCCATTCACAAATCAAACCTCAGTCTTCTTGGGTCGCAGCTTTCCACACACATCGTGTGCAGTTTGACGAGGAAACCATCGGCTCATAGGGTGCTGCAGCAGGGTGGAAAAGCATCCTCATCTGGGCACCAACCTGGGCTCAGATCAGGCTCAGATCTGTCACTTCTATACTTGGAAGCATCTTTGTGACCTATTTCACGGTAGAGCTGTGTGGATCGTAGAACAGAACTACTTTATGGGGGGAAATCTCAGTGCAGGGGTGTTGGGGCCCTCTGAGCTCAGCCCCTGCCGGCGAGGTCTTTAGGTGAGATGCCCACTGTCTACAGCAGTCCACCAGCAGTCATCTTCCCTTTCCCCTGGAGGAAGTTGCCTTCCAGTTCCTGCCTCCCTTGTGGCTTAGGGTGGCTCTGGGCTGTTAGAAATGAGCTAAGTGACGTGTCCAGCTTCCAGGTCACGTCCTTCAGACAGGAAGCTGATGCTTCTCCAGTTCTTCCTATCCCCTTTCCCACACCAGACACACATGATGCTTGAGAGATAGAATTGCTGATTTGGAGGAAAGTATCATTTCATGGGATCGTAGTCCCACAAAACAGGAAATCTGGATGCTAGGCAGCCTTTGGATAGAGATTTCCCCCATCCCATGACCCATACCTGTAACAAACTGTAAAAGAGTAAACTGTCTCTCATTTGAGCTGCAGTTTTGTGGGAGTCTCTTTGTTACAGCAGTCTGTAGCCTGTTTAGTATGCTTTTTTGGTCAAAATTTACTCTTTGGCTGCTTGTTAAGTCATATTTCCATAAATATAGACTGTACTTTTCTTATTTTTTATTCTATTTTTCGTATAATTCTCCTTATCTGTTGTTTTCTTCTTAACTTCCAAAACATCATCTTTTACTATATTCATCTTTTGCTAAACTAACGGTGTAACCAGTTAAGAAGTTAACCTCTAGTTAAGCATAATTATTTGGCAGCACAGTCATTTATGACTTAACATAATAGCTGACATCATTGAGACTTGCAAATAGCAGCCCCTGCAATGCCGCCAAGATTATAGGGATGATTTAACAGATCTATGACATTGGTGGCTCTTTATTCCCATTTTACAGGAGGTCGATTGAGGCCTCTGAAGGCGAAGTACTACCTGAGTTTGCAGGGTCAGCTCTTGGAGGAGCTGCGATTAGAAAGCTAGCAGGCCAGCTGAGATCAGGAGAAAAGGCAACTCTAATACCTCCTGGATGGCAGAGGTCAGAGGTTTAGTTGTTAGTGCCGGTGTTCTTTTGTGTTTCTCTACTTGCTAGGAGATATAAGGCCACAGATCCTTTTATTGGAAAAAAAAATTATCTTTTGAAGACAAAGATTTTTGTAATCACAAAATAAATACATTTCCTGGGTTATACAGCATCTGATACGATAATAGTATTTTGAGAGAATTACTATATTAAATGTATAAATAAAAAGCAGAATGAATTCCAGTTTTAGAAATGTGAGCATACAAAACACATACAGCAGCTGGGTGTGATGGTTCACACCTGTAATCCCAGCACTTGGAAGGCTGAAGCAGGAGGATTGTTGTGAGTGCGAGACCAACCAGGGCTACAAAGTGAGCTCAAGGCCAGCCTGAACTGCATAGCGAGATCCTGTCTCAAGGCAAAACAAACAAACAAACAAACAAAAAACCCACATACAGCTTATAAGTGAGGAAATTTTATATCAACAGATAGTAGCTTTCTAAAGCAGGCAGTTGTCAAGATAGAACAGCTTTTCATCACCGTTTTTACAGAAGGGGAAAAAGATGACCAGAGGCAGTTCCTAGCTAGGAAGAGGTACCTGAATTTGGTTGTATTTATTTTTAATAAATCAATTTGTGAAAAGCTAAAATCAGAATATCTTACTATTTTATATTTCAAAACCCCACTCTCACTTGAATTCTTAATTACCTTACATAATAATGGGATGATATTCATTGTGGTTGGGAAAGTATATTTAAGAATCTCTCAAAAAAGAAAGGAGGAGGAGAGCTGGACTCTTGCCAATCTGCTTAATGGATTCTTGCTCACTTTAGTCTTTGTTTGTCTTGAATAGGGTAGAATTGAAAGCACTAATTCAACCATGATTATTGTTTAGTTGCATCTTGGTAAATAAAAAAAGACAATGGTCTGGATCCTGTTCTGACATGAATGCCTATGATTACAGGATTAGGGAACTCTTTGGATCAGTAATTCGAGCTCTGATTTTGTTAGCCTCCCCAGGCTTAGCTCAGCCTATCAACCTGTACTCGTGCCTGCTCAACTCTGGATTGTCCACCATGCACGATGAAGGGAACCACAGGAATAATTGGAAAATAGCCGATATGTGTGACACTTTGGCATCGCATACCTGTGGCACAGGTGAGTCTATGATATGTGACAGCCCACCTTCCTATGGTAGGGGCGGATGCCTTGAGACACAGCTGCACAGGAAGATTCATTAAAATTCTTTCACTTGGCATTGAACAAATAATTCCCTCTTACCTTTTGTTTTTGTTTTTTTTTGTTTTTTGTTTTTTTTTTTTGTGGTCTTTTTCCTTTTTATCGGTACTGGGGATCAAACTCACAACTGCCTGCTTTCAAGCAGGCGCTTATGCCGCTGAGCTAAACCTCCAGCCCCACCCTCTTACCTTCTTTAGGGAGTCTATAGACTTTTATTTCACAAAATGAGACAGTAGGGGGAAAAACCGACTGTGATTGAAATCGAGTTGGGTTAAAGAAGGGGTCAAGTAGCACTGGACTCACGTGCCTTGGTCTCTTGGCCGGACTTATTGCCAGTAAGTCAGCCCTGTTTTTTTTTTTTTACTGTCTTCTTTCTGAATTTTTTCTTTTCTTTAGTAAGTGATGAGCTATTTTCCTGTGTAGTTCAGTTTTGAATTTACCTGGGAATCCCTCGTGTAGGGAGAGGCTTTTTTATTTGAGGAATTTACTAAAAATGGGCCTGTCCTTCAGAAGTCAAACCCTAGGGAAGCAGGCTGAAGTCCATGGAACAGAGGGCATCTGGGATCCAGGATGGTTTGTCTGATGCTATTGTGACCTCTGTAAGGGAGGAGAGACACCTTTTCCTCATCCATCCTATGTTCATGGCCGAGGTCCCCAAGATGAAAGAAAACTTTTTTTTTTTGGGTACCAGGGATCAAACTCATGACCTTGCTTGCACTTGCTAAGCAGGCACTTAAGCCACTGAGCTGAATCCCTGGCCCCCCCAATTTTTTTTTTAAATTTTAAAGAGAAAACAAAAGACAAACAAGCAAAAAACCCAAAAAATTTAATAAGAGAAAACCATACTAATTTATTTAAAATGTTTTACATGATATAGTAGCTGTCTTAGGAAATGAGAACCTCGAGAGAGAGTTAAGGTTGTATATTTTTGTGTTGCTTTATGACTAGTGCGTTGTCATGGAGAACTGTAATTGGACGAAAGGTATGCAATCCAATGGTGCAAACTTGTGGGGTGCTGGGTGCAGTGACACAAGCCTACAATTCCAGAATTTGGGAGGCTGAGTCAGAAGGATCTGTGAGAGTTCAAGACCAGCCTGGCCTACACGGTGAATTCAAGGCCAGTCTGAATTACATAGTGAGACCCTGACTTCAACAAACCAGTGAATGAACAAAGGAAAAAAGGGACAAAGAAACAGACAAAACTTGGGGGACTCAACCGAGCCCACTTGTGTGGATGGCTCACTTTGATCCTGGGTTTTTGTTTTCATAGATAAGGATTATTATGGTTGATACATTGTGTCAACTTGAGAAGTCTAGAGGCTTAACTATGTAACTCAGTGGCTCTACATCTTGGGGCATAGAGGAAAAGCCTTTATTGCTCTAGAATATTATTCATTGTGTCAATTTGAGATGACAGAAATTTAACTAAGTGATTAAGCAGGGGGCCAGAATCCTTACTCTGTAAACATCCCCAGCCTGTGCAAGAGGAGAGAAATCAGATGTGTGAGTACTACACCCACCTGAGGGAGCATAAACTGCTCACAATATAAGGGAGGAAGAGGATTGTTCTGGTCTTTTGCTCTCCTTGCCTTTCTGTTTTCCTCTGCCTTGAAGTGTTGCACTGTGCCCCACCATCCTGCCTTGGAGCCAACTGATTATGGCCTGAAACTTCCACAAACTGTGAGCTAAATAAAGCTTTATTTCCTTAATTTTGGCTGTTGGGTATTTTATTTCAGCAATGAAAGAAAAGTAAGCAAGACAAGAGAGGTGAGTAAAGCAAAGTAACCAAAGTAGGAAAGAAAAGTAACAAAGGATATTCCTTGTCCCTGCATATAGCCAAGGTGCCACTCAAATGAGGATTTTATGGCTTGCTTCAGTGGAAGGGCAGAAAATCCTCCCTGGGCTATGCTTTATGAGCTGCCTCAGGGAGAAGGACAGGGTCTGGAAATGCAAGTGACCTTCTTATACTGCTGCTTTCTCAGTGTCAAGTTGTATGCTTTGGAGCAGCATGTCCTGGACTGACTGAGGGTGGAGGAGGATCACTGTATTCCAGCAAACTGCATTTGCAGAGTAAGGATCCTACCCACTCCTCACCAGCCCTGCTTCAGGACAGTACCTACAGCTTTCTACTGCTCTGTGTCCTGTGGTCCTCTGCAGGGAAGGCTTAGCACCAGCGTTTTGGTTTCTCCTGCCCAGTAAGACATGCTCTAATGTCCAGCAGCAATGGATCAGTATTGTCTCAGGTCAGCCAAATGAAAGAACTTTACTTGGAGGGTTGCAGTTAGGTTGGCCAGCAGCCTTTTTTCTGAGGTGTGCATGGGAGAAAGGATTGCAAGTGTCTATCTGTTTATTAATGTAGAGTTATCTGGTACCCTAAAGGTCACTTAGATTCTGTGCCTTGAGCATGATACAACAAACAGAATGCCTAATTGCCTGGATAGCAAATAGCGATAGGACCAGGAAGGCACTGTCCCCACAGGATGCTATGGGAGAGGAGACCTGGAGGAAGTCTCTGAACTTGGGAGTCTGCACATTTGTATACTGGTGTTATGGCTGGGGCAAGTTTACTTATCGCCTCATTTCAATTATGTAGAATGAAAGCTCTTACACCTGCTACCTGTGAGTTCCTCACATTGATACTTGTGAGAATCAGTGTCACTCTGAAAATCTGTCTCTAGTTTCTCTCCCAATACCTCAGTACCCTCAGTCCAATTCTTTGCTCAAATCAATTTAGTAAGAGTCTCCACTTTTTCTGCCCTACGCTTGTGTCCAAATCTTCCATCTCAAAGCATGTTTGTGAAATCTATAATGGGACTCAGTTTGAATAAGCCGTATATAAGAAGATATCAAATTTTGTGGAAATTAACAGCCCACCCCAATTAACAACCTACCTTTAATTATCTAACAGTTACACTTAAGCAGAAATGATTAAATCTCCACAGTTATTTCCATCTTTGTTACTAAGTTTCTTTCCTTTTTAAATCTGAACCATTCCAATGAATTTTCATCTTCTTTGTCATTCTAGCTCCAATATCCTAGTATTTCAAATAAATGTAGAAGAACCTTGCTATGGTTTGAATGTTTATGTTCCACTAAAATTCGTATGTTGCAATTTTAACCCCAAGGATGATGACGTAAGAACGTAGGACCTTCCGGAGGTGATTATCTAAGAGAGAAGAGCCCTGGTGAATGGGATTAGTGCATTTATGAAGGAAAACTCAGAGGACTTCCGGGAAAATGACAGGTAGTGAGCAGCAGAGAAAGAACCCCTGTAAGTTTTGGTGTCCAGACCCTGGAATACAGCAAGATGAAGAAGAGGAGGAGGAGAGGTGGGTCCTGTGGACATAGGGAGGATCTGAACTGAGACCGAAACTCATGGAGAGGGATAATTCAGAAATCCAGCAAAAACAAGAAAACCAGGGGTGATGGCCCTGCTGCACGGGGAGAAATAGCAAAGAAGCAATGCAGCCTCCACCCTCTGTGCACGGTGGAGCCCTGCTGGCCAGGGAGAAGCAGCGTGGAAGCCGTGCAGCCTCCCCGTGTGCGGGGGGAGGCCCTGTCTGTCAGCCAGGGAGGAGCAGCAAGGAAGCCAGCTCGGCCTTCCCCTCCCCGACTAAACAACCCGATGGGGCACAGGCTGAGATGGTGGCAACAGGAGTAGGGAAGAAACCTGACGTTTGTGCTGTTGACGTTGCAGGCCTGGGGCTGTAGTCTGGGCAACTATTTAGAGGATAATGATAGGCAATATAGTAAAAACTGTGGATTTCCTACTGTCCTATCACTGTTTTGCTTTGCTTCTTTTTGCTGTTCTGTTTTACTCCCTAAAGAAAGAAGAAAAAAACCCAGAGGAAGTTTTGCAAGGGAGAAGGCACAATCTCAGAAACCTGAAACTTGGTCTTTCCCAAACACAGAATCTGCCAGTGAGAAATAAAATCCTGTTGTTTACAAGACACCCACTGTATTTTGTTACAGAAGCCTCAGTGGACTAAAATGGGCCTGATAGTTTGAGGCACAGAATGGTGTCAGAAGTGATACACAATGGGTGGTGGAAGTGATGCATTTGTTTTTAATGTGTAAAATATTTATTGTGGGCAAATCTTTGAATGGGATGATTCAGTTGCAGGGAAAAAGAGGAACCTCAGTAGTGTAGGTGATGTCTGATGAGGAGTTCTGAAAACTTTTGAGAAAAAATAGACTGTAACAGCAAAAATAATGACAGACAAAAATAAAAGGAAACAGAAGACAGGAAGAGACTTTACAAGAAAAATTTGAAAGTAAGAAAAAGGTGAGTAGAAAGAGGCTGAAACCAGAGATGGTTCCTTTAAAGCATATTAAAAAAAGTCAAGCGAATGCACAAAACTCGAAGCTTGAGATAACAGAAAGGAAAGGCTGACTTAGTGGAAGAGATTGTTTGAGGTTCAGAGTCTGTGTAGATGTGTGTAATATTTTTGTTTGTTTTGTTTTTGTTACATGAATCGACTTCAGGAGCTTGTGCTTGCTAAGAAGTTGCTTGTGCAGCTGAGCTATATCCCCAGCCCAACGTGTGTAATATTGACTAATACATATGCATCAACATTTCTCACAATTTATTATAGTTTCAAAAATGAATCATATGGGCTGCCCTTGGGGTGGAGAGTGTCAGTGGAGTTGAACAAGAACACTGCAACTGTCACAGATAATTGCCTAGAGCTTCCTTTACCTGAGCTGACAAAGATAGGCCCAACAATCACCTCTTCTCCAAAACTTAAGCATCAGTTCTTTGTGACACAGTTTACCTCCCACCCCAGGAGCTGCAGTGAGCACCCACAGTCCTCTTCTGCCCCCACAAGAGACTGTAGTTTCAGAAGCCAGAGAAGTTGTTTTTTTGTATACAAAACCCCCGTATTGGGTTTAACTGCAGTGTTGGCGCTTCGTGATAACTAAATGAGTTTTGGGTTGCAGTTTGGTCGAGAGATCTCTAACCCTAACACAAAGGTTCGACATCCCTGCACGACTGCTCTCCAGTTAAAGAACAAAATAGGGTATTACAGCCTTTGTCTTGCAAATGGTACTTCAGTAGGCCTTTATATTCCTGTTCTCTCCATTTCTTTGTCTTTTTTTTTCCCTCTCGGAGTCTTCTTGTCATTTTCCTCCTCTTCTCCCTTAGCTGGAGTTACAATCAAGGAGCCTCGGATTTTAATGTGTAATAGAACTGTTTAGGGATCTGGCTAGCAGGCAGGTCTGGCCCTTCTGGCGAGTTTCCCTTTGAGGCTGACGTGCTTGACCCTCTGAGACACTTTTGGGTTATAGAAAGATGATTTAGCACAGGCTTCTGATTATATTCTAGGTTCGAATTCGAGTTTTCTTTTACTAGCCGTGTGATTGTGGGCAGTCGACTTTTTGCTTCCCCTGTAAAATGAGATCTTTACAGCGTCTGTTACATGGAGTAATCATGACCGCTAAGAAGACAAGTAAAGTTAGCAGCGCAGGGTGCACTTCAGCCCGCACTCGGCTGGCTCCGGCTGCAAGAGGCAGGGACAAGGTGATTAGGCCGGGAGGCGTGGCCGACGGTGGGAGGGGCGGTGCCGAGGCTTTGCGCATGCGCCGCTGGATGCGCGTGCTGCAGGTAGGAGGGCGGTGGGCTGCTCCCGCTGCGTGTGCTGAATTTCTTCGCAGTGCGACAAAGAGGCGCGTGGTGTGTGTTTGTGTGGCTGTGTGTATGTGCGTGTGGTGAGAGACTTTCCAGGTTCTGGGGAGGGCGACGGACACTCGTCACCTCCAGTTCATGGACGGTGACCCGAGCGTTTCCGGGTCGCCGGGCGACCTCGGCCTGGGGTCGGCGCGTGCGCCCTGGCCGAGCCGCGAGCCCCGGCCCCGGGAGTGAGGTGGCTGTGCGAGCCGCGCGGCAGCGCCTGCTGCCGCTGTATTCGTCGAAGCCCAGGTCATATGCTAGGGAACCTCGTCGCCGCGTGCAGTCTGAGACCCCGCGTCGGGAGTCCAGGCGCCTGCAGGCGCGGAGCCTTGCGGGTCACATCCCAAAAGCGCAGGCGCAGCCGCAGATCGGGGAATCTGGGCGCCCAGCCGCGCGGGGTCCAGAGCTTGGGCTCTGGAGCGGGCCTCGCAGCCCTGCTTTTTTGTGAGGCTGGCATGCGGTTTCATTTTCAGCAGCCCTTCCTTCGAAGTCCAGGCTCTGCCTATGCTGCCAAGTCAGAAGGGCCTCTGGATGCCCCCTCCCCATGTTCCGCTCTGCCAAATGGGTTTTATCAGTCGGTTGAAACACTCCTGAAACTGAGGGAGTGGAAAGAAATAAGCACATCACTTAAGGAAGGTAAATGCTTTTTTACAGTTATTTGAGCATTACTTTTTGAGGCTTGAGCATCACCCTTTCCTAACAAAAGTCTTGGATTCCTTACGTTGTGGAACTGGGCACGAGTAGGTTCTGTGTGCTCGCGAGCCCGTGTGTGTGTGTGTGTGTGTGTGTGTGTGTGTGTGTGTGTGTGTGTGTGTGTGTGTGTTTGCCCCTGGATCATCAGAAGTGACCTGAGAAGTCTATCACCCCCCTCTTGGTTGTTTCTAAGTTCTTTTTAACTTACATTGATTGCATCATTTGTCTTAACAGATTTAAATTTGAGCAAGTGTGGGGGAGTCTGGGATAACACTGTCAGAATGGAAAAGGGAATTTGGGGAGAAGGGCATCTTGTAATAAGAATCTACCTCAGGCATTGTGAAAATGAGGTGGAAACAGATAGAGCAACTGCCTGCCGGTGAGCAGACAGTGGGCCTGGAGAGTACTAGAAAACTAGTTCTGTCTCTACGGAGCACATGTGACACAATAGTAAAAACCGAAGTTACAAGCTAATTCTTGCATTTTTGACTTTAAGGTTATGTGGAGGCAGAGTAAAGATAAGGGTTCATGATGCGTGTATTCAGAAATAGGCCTATGGTGATTTCTTGTTATGTAGCTGTTATTCTTGCTCAGCTTTAGAAAATGAAAGAGACCCACTCTGGCTTTTTTTTGGGTGGTGATTCAATACCATGCTAAGCGCACCTGCCACTCCCAGCCCAATAAACTTCCCTGATTAGCTTTTATAGGAAGGGAATCAAGATCTAAACTGTCTGTAGTTTTGTTATTGTGTCATAACCCAATCAACTTTTCCTCCTCATGTGCCTATTGGCCTTTTGTATCAAAATTACTTGGGGTGCTTCTAAACAAAGGGCAGCTTCCTGGGATACCCAAAACAGCTTTTGCTGCATCAGAATCTAAAGACTGGGGAGTAGAAAACTGTAAGCTGAGGTTCAGGAATACACATTGTATTTTATTTTAGAGACTTGGCCTCACTTTATAGTGCAGGCTCATCTCAAACTGTGTATCCCAGGCTGGCCTCAAACTCAAGGCAATCCTGCCTCAGCCTGAGTGCTGGGATTACAAGTGTGTGCTACCACATTTGGCAGGAATACATTTTAAACAAGCCACTTAAGTAATGTAATTATAGACCATAACTCTTCAGGAACAAGAAACAATTGGTTTATCACCTATCTTTGATTTATTATGCCCCTCACATATGGAAATTGAAAACTGTATAGGATAGCTTGAAATAAATGTACAGTAACTTTGGGATCTTATCTTGTATAAACTTCTTAAACTGAGTGGATTTTTATAATGTGATGAAATATGCTCAATTTCATACTTGTTACTGTTAAACCCAGGATGCCTCGCAGTATGGAACCACTGGCAAAGAAGATCTTTAAAGGAATTTTAGTAGCTGAACTTGTGGGTGTTTTTGGAGCATATTTTTTGTTTAATAAGATGAACACAAGCCAAGGTAATCACAATTTAGAAGTGAATGCTTTCTATACTATACAGTTTGCTAATGCATTTTGAGTATAAATGCTAATGGCATTTGTGGTAAAAATGCTTTATGGATTCAATGTACTACATGTTTTTATGGGCAGAAGGGCAAATGAAGGATTCACTGTAAGCTGGAGGATTTTCGTCTCCCTTATAAACATATTTCACATCTCCATGCACGTCACTGGTTGGAAGAATGAGTGTCCTTTGTCTGGCTTAGTTTGGGAAGCACATAGGTAAACAGCCTGCACATTACAATTCCTCGTTTGCTAGACTGAGAAAGAGGTGACATGACTGTATTCTGACAATGCTGTATTCTTGGGCTATACTTAGAATTTTCTCTGAGTCAACGGTGGGCACTGAAAGCATTTCCCATTCATCACTGAAAATGCTTGAACATACTACGAATGATCTTATTTCAAATTTGTCACGGTAAAGTGATATCCATTACAAAAAGCCATAAAGTTACTCAAAATTATATTGAAACTAGAAATCTTGCTTTTAAATATATTTTTCATTTTTAAGTAAAATTACATCACATATACAGATTTTAAAAACTCTTAAAATAGGTGTAAGGAGGCTCCACGTTAAGGCAAATCATTTTAAATTTTTTTTTGGGGGGGGAGGTACTGGGAATTGAACTCAGGACCTTGTGCTTACCAGGCAGCACAATTTTAAATCTTACTGAAAAAGTTTTAGTTCCTGAGTTAAGATCTTAGAACAAATTTCCGACCTGATTCCCATCATATAGCTCCTAAAGCACGAAATTGTGGCTTGTGTGTTGATACTGTGAGTTTCTTGATCATAACTAATTTACGGTTTTTTTTTTTTAATCAGATTTCAGGCAAACAATGAGTAAGAAATTTCCTTTCATCTTAGAAGGTATGTTTTCCCTTAAACTGTAGTAACTTTTTCATAACTAAAGGGGAAGTGACTGTTATTATTACACTACTGTTTATTATGTTACTTATTACTATTATATTATTAGCTAGTATTTCTAACAATACTATGCCATATTGTAGTTCCTTCTGAGACCAACAGGGAAAAATTCTTACCTATAGTTACCTAGATGAGAGCACAGCTGGATTCTTAATTTTTCCAATGGTTAACAACACAGACTTCAGAATGAGATGTATTGAAAGGTGGTGATGGAAGCAAATCACAAGCTAAACTTTTGGTTTTAAGACTGGTTTTATCTCAGGTGTGCTAACCTCTTAGAGCTGCTTCTTTCTCTAATAGAGTTAATACCTACCTTATATGATTATTAGGATTAAGCAAGAAGAGATTATGTTCTTCAAAGCACATTATCTGGTATAAAGTAACAGTTCATTACAGTAATTAACTGGAGTGAATAGAGGTTGTATGTAAAATATGTAATCTTTTGTCCTTTTTATTATGTAGCAATATGCAAAAGTGATTTTTCAATGTTAAGTTTAATAACATTTTTACATGGTATTATAAGTGACAGCTATTTTTATTTATAGTTTATTACAAATCCGTTGAACAGGCTGGAATTTATGGAACCAGGGAACAGGATCAAGAAAAATGGCTGGATAGCAAAAATTAGGAGTAAGTAGAATGTTATATTTTACATCAGTAACTCTCATTTCCTTTGCTTTTTAGTTTTTTGAGTGTTTTTTAGCCCTTTCTTTTTGAAATTTTTCTTTCTCTTGATGATACTTTTCACATCTCTGTTGTGTAACCAGTCATCCCGTTCAGCCTCCCATCTAAGTTGTTTGAGACCTTTAAGAGAAGAAAGATGGTGTGTCACACGTTAGACGCTAGAGTCCCACAGAATGCTGTGCTTAGGTGGCCCATGGCCCCTGGCTTCCACCCACTAGGTAAACCCACCCCTTGTTTCCCTGCTCTTCTCCTTTTACTGTCAAAAACTTGTTTTACAAATAAAACATGAAGGAGGGGAAAGGAAAAAAAATGCTCTATAAAGATTTTCTTTTTTTTTTTTATCGGTACCAGGGATTGAACTCATGACCTCCTGCTTGCAAGGCAGGTGCTTATGCTGCTGAGCTAAATCCCCAGCCCCTATAAAGATTTTCTTTTTCTTGAGCTCTTTTATTTGTGGAGGCATAGTGAACTATTAAAATCAGAATTAAAAGTATTTAAGCATGTGAAGTTAGCACGTTTATACTATATGAAAGTAGCATGCATGTCATGTGAAACCCAATTTTTGCAGTATGTAGTATTTGTGGTCTAAATACATTTTAACCTTTATCATCCAGAGGGGAACATTTGAAAAAGCTATCCTTTCCAGATTGTAGGGTACCCTAAAAAGGTTCTCCAGAAATCCATCTTCTAATTTTAAGTGAAGGCTATTTTATTTCACCTCCCCCTACCTTTGTGGTACTGTAATCAAGTCCAGAGCCCCACTGCACGCTAATTAAACACTGCCCACTGACCTACATCCCTAGGCCAAGGCTGTTATACAAACTTGGACTGAAAATTCAAGTTACTTACTTGCATTGTCTTTGTTAGCCATGGCATTCATGCCAATGTTATCAAATTTGGATCCCATATTTTCATCCAACAGGTGGCCAAACTTAAAAACAAAAGTATGTATTCATTAGGAAACTTAAAATAATGTAGAATAGCCATCTCCTCAAAGCAGCACAGCAGTCTTACCTCTTCAGCAGATACAAACAGGCTGGAGTCATGGAGGCTTCGTTTCTTTTTCTTTTTTGGTCCTAAAAAGTATATTGGCTGTATTACTCAATACCGAATGGTTTTTGGAGAAAATATAAATTTCTCAACATGACTTTATTTAAAAATTATATTTGGGGAAAATACAGTTGTTACCTGTGAAATTTTGTACTATCAGACAAGATTAAAATTCTACTGATGACCCAGATGGATTTTGGAATAAAGCAAAACTTGATTCAGATGCCTTACTAAGAAAAAGCTGGTTGAACATGTTTATTATGTTATCAAAGAAGCCGTATCATACTTTACTCCACTGGCAGAACAGAATCACAGGGTACTGTGTGGATGTGCCACATTACATTTATCCGTTCATCAGTTATTGGGCATTTGGGTTGTGTCTAGTTTTTGGTATTAATGAATAAATGGGATTATGAACAGTCACATGCAAGTCTATGTAAACATGTCAGAGACACTTGTGATAAAAGTTTCTAAAGCATCCCATCTTAATTTTTTTTAATCTGAAACTTACATTATATGTAACAACTGTGTAAACTCTCATTTCCTATAGATGTTTATTGTATTTCACTGAGTAGTTCTTAAAGTTTTCTTAACGATTATTTATTTTTAATGATAATCCAGTGTGTGGATATATAGTAATACCCAGAGGGTCAAATAATTATTAAATCTAAGCAAAATTCCCTTTTATTTCAGTCAACTGTGCCAGGTACCCTTAATCTGTGGCACATACTATTATCATTGGAATCTTCTAGTCTGAAGCAGCGTTTATTATCCAAAGCAAGGCTTCTGCAGGGCAGCTTTTGATAACCAGCTCCGCAGGTCTGTGTTAGAGCAGCATTCTACTCTGAGGGATTTTCTGGAGGAACCCTACTTTGTATTATGCTTTCAGATATCTTGAATCACACTTAAGGGAAAGTATGATCTGGAAAAACACCATTATAATTTGAATATCTGGTGTCTAGTTATTAAGGGATATTGCTAGTTGCATTTTAAAGAGCCCATTCAAATTTGGTAGGTTTAAGTATCTGAGGAACTACTAACAATATGTAACTAAGATATTTAAAAATTATTTTTATTTGTTTTTATGTTCATGAAGAAACAGAAACCAGAAAGGTTGGCCTTGAATTCTCAGTGATCCTTCTCTGGTATGCGCCATGACACCTGGCCCTGTTTCCTACATTGTTATTAAAAACTAAAAATTGGGGGGCTGGGGATTTAGCTCAGTGGCATAAGCGCCTGCCTTGCAAGCAGGAGGTTGTGAGTTCGATCCCTGGTACTGATAGAAAGGAAAAAGACTAAATAAATAAATAAATAAATAAAACTAAAAACTGTCACCTGATACAGCACTTCTTTATTATTACCTTACAAATGTTATACTATAAAACATAGAACTATTAAAAAAAGGAAAAACTAGCAGGAATAATTCATATGTTCTAGTTACATATTTTGAGATTAGAATTGTTTTATCTTAGCAGATACCAAAAAAATTAAAGGAACACAGATTTTTGTAAGTCAAATGGCAAAGGGTAAAAAATCGAAGAAAAAGGTAAAAAGAGAAAGAAAGGCAACACAAATCTTGAAAATTCAGGGTTTATATATAATTTGATTGCTTTAAACAGGAAGAGAGGATGCAGATACATTTAAATGTGAGAGGAAGGAACACAGGAAGAGAAGAATCGTTAATGTATACATGGGAAATAGTACAAAACATCTTTAAGGAACAAAAAACACCTAAATTATACTAGCCAATTAGAAAAGCGTATTTCTCATTTTTACATGGACACTGCTTAGGTTTAAGAAAGAGTATATGCATTTTCTTACCTAGAAATGAACCAGCGAAGTCAACATCACCTGTGCTCTTTCTTTTATTTTTCTTAGTATTGTCTTTGGAGTTGTCGTCATCAAGTTCTATTACCCAACAAAAAACTGCTATGAAGTAATTTGAACATAACTGGAAACTCCTTAAAACAAGAAACTCCTCCTGTGGCCCCACAGCAGGATACTGGATGGGTTTGTGTTTACTGGCAGTTCATGAAGAAAGGTTAGAAAACAGGCCAAAGATACAATTTTGGTATTCTACGCTAATTTGTAACAGTAAGATAAATCGTTCATCTTTCTTTATGCTATAGGTCTGATTAATAATAAGCTTTTATAAAATGTTGATTAATCTTTGCTGGGGACTGAACTGAGGGTTTACATATGCTACAGGGAATCCTAACAGCTGCATCTCTGCCCCCTGCTAATCACTGTTCTACCATTAAAGCATCAACATAACAAATCAACAGATAGTGTGGAGAGGCTAATTGTTGATCAAAATAAAAGTCAAACACTCAAAACTAACCTGCATTAAAAAATAAAACCTTCCAGAAAACTTTCTAAGTTCCAAATGAGAAGGCGAAGGGCCCTTTTATACCCTTTCTTGGGTATAAGTATTAATATGAATACAGGACCATATTAAAAACCTTTACTATACTGAGTGTTGTGGTACACGGCTGAGGCTGAGGCTGAAGCTGAGGCAGGAGGATCACTGAGTTCGAGGCCAGCCTAGGCTACACAGTGAGTTAAAGGCCAGCTTGAACTGCATTGAGACTGTCTCAAAAAGACCAACCAAAACAAACAAGAAACAAAGAAACCCATACTAGGAAAACTAGGCATCAGAATAAGGAAGAAAGATACAGTTTGTGACTCATTGTTACGAACTGCTTACCTGGAGCGCCCTCACTGCCCTCATCTGACACGTCCATGAACGTTCCTCCATCATCATCAAGTTCATCAAAGTCCTCATTCATGCTTCCTAAAGAAACTTCTTCATCGTCTAAGTTACCAAATTCATTGTCACTTCCCTCTGAATCTTCATCTTCCAAGTTGTCCTTAGCTCTTTTTTTCGTCTTTTTCATATTGCTGGAAAAACCCCAAAACTTATAAAACAGCATGTATTTTTCTAAAGCATATTTTGATGATTGACTAGGCTGTTAAATACTCAAAAGAATTACAAAATGTTTAAAGCGTAACAGTAATATGCGTAATAAAAATAAAAACAGTACTGCTACACTCACACTACCCAGACTTGGTTGAGTAAATTTCCCCTGTGTATCACATAGTTCTGAAGTATACTACTGTAAGGGACAACAATTTCAGAAATGTTGGGAAACAGTAAAAAGATTTAAAAAAGTTTATTACCTTACAAAATCAAGGTCACCCTTTCCAGAAGTGTAACAGTTATCATCTTCAAATGTGTCTGCCAGAGAATATACAGATTGTGAGATGTAACAGAGTAACACAGTCAGTGTGTTACAGCTGAACTGACTGCACTAAACATTACAATTCTTTCAAAATGATACAAATGTGACTATTGTTGGTATGTCTTATCAATGTATATAAGCCTGTGACATACCGATTTTAATGAAATCTCTAAAGTGACTTCTGACCAATTCCAAATTCATTACAGATTTTTTTAATGGAAAAAGAAAAGTAACATTTAATAGTTATAGCTCAGTGTGGTGACACAGACTTGTAATCGCAGCACTCAAGGCTGAGGCAGGAGGATTGCTATGAGTGTGAGGGTGGCCTCGGCCGCACACTGAATTAGAGCAGCCTGAGTTACAGAGTGAGACTCTGCCTTGAAAAGGGGAGGGGGAAATAACAAAATCCCAAAAAACTCCTAAACAGTAATAATAGTTCTTTTTACCATAGAAGAAATATAGCATTTAAGTGCTTGCATCTAATAGGTATAATATGCAATAAAAATGAAAAAACTCATTTCATTTGCCTGGCAAGCACAAGATCCTGAGTTTGATTCCTGGTACCAAAAACCAAAACAAAATAAATGAAATCAGTGTAAGGTTTTCCAGTTTCCCACGTGTTTCATTTCAGTTACATTTTCATTTAAAGTTTTC